AACCTAATTTAGGACCAACTGAGTGAAATACAAGCCTCCACTGTGAAAACTACTCTATAACAATATGTTTATTAATTATTGTGTTAGACTGAATTTTTACAGTAAGGAGTTCTGTTGATTTCAATATATATTTTTCAGTAATATTGTCATTTATCTTGTTGTAGATTCAAAATAAGAACTAGTACATCATTAATACTGAATAACAGTTTTACGTAATATAATCAAAGCTGATTTCATTATATAAAGCTCACAGCTTGTTTAAGTAAATGAGAATGATGGAATGATGTGTGAATATGTTATTACTTATTAAGAATGATTAATTAATACAAAGCCTTAATTTAATCCTGAATGCTCTAGTTATATAAATAAGAAAAGCAAAATGGATATTGCCTTGTTGATTATAGTTTAAATTTGGAATCTATTTTGCCTTTTATTGTAGGGATACAGAAAGCACTTATCTCCCTTTGATGAAGATAAGTCACATGGGTCATGTGACAGACTACTTACTGACATTACTCCATATAGTAATATCAAATTTCAGTTTGTTTACAGCAGCCACCATGTGAGGTTGGTTTCTTTAAGCCAGCATCAGGGCTAAACCTATTTCCCCAACAGCTAACAAGTCCATGGTGCTGTTTTCCTTTGGGAATATATCTTTCCCAGATACAGAATGAAATTCCAGCTCATAGTCCTCAATTTGGGAAAACCCAAGACTTGCTGTTTCTCATTCATGTAATATGTCCTCACCTGGGATATAGATGAATCTGGCCCTTTTGAGATTGGAGTTCTAAACCATGCTTCTCCAGATACATGACAATCTCCATATTATATGTATCACACTTCATTTTTGTACTCTGCTTTGTTATGTAGATATATAGTAATATATTTTTCTCTGCATGGGATACAGGTAAATATGTATATATAGTTTTGTGCGTGTCTTAGTAGTATAAAAGTCTCTCTGAGAACAAAGCTTGTTCGTCATTCTTTTTCCTTTCAGCCATTCTATTCTGTCCATGAACTAGGGTATTATTATATCTGTGATATAATTTCCCTTAGTTCATGGACATCACAGATATAATAATGCTCTACTTCATGGACATCACAGATATAATAATACCCTAGTTCATGGACACCACAGATATAATTATGTCCATAATGGGGGAAATACAAATGGGAGAATAAATCTTTCTTCCCTAACTCTATCCTGTTATTATTTGTTTGTTAACAAGCAAGCTAGGAAGAAAGAGAAATTGTAAAGTTGAGTTCAAATTCCAGACTAGTTTGTTGCATTCACTTTCATGCAAATCCCTTTAGAAAAGGTATGAATCCATCTCCACTTCTCCCATTTATAGGATAAAGAGCAGAATAGACTGGATTCTCTAGCATTGGATGGCAATCAGAATTCTGAATTTACAACTATAGCAAAGGCAATAAGTAAACACTGTATTTTTCCCTAGAAGCCATGATAATTCATAGATAATAAAGAAATGAAATATGTGAAGAACCATAATTGACTATGCCCTGAAGGAACATGGTATTTGAAAAAAAAAATAATGCATGAATGTTACATTGTCTTGTATTCCTGCTTCTATGGAGTTTCCTGAGCCGGTAGATTCTATGAATGTAAAACCATATGTTAGCTATTGCGGTGAGCCACAATTTCCTGTAAAAGAGTTTTTTTTTTTTGTTTTTTTTTTTAAGTTAGCATCAATAGCAAAAAACATAACACATATCATACTGCATTACAACCATGTTTAAGTTTGCAAGCTCAAATAAAAATCTCACCGTTTCATAAGTAAAAAGACAAACAACTGATAGTTAAATGACCTGAAATTAGTATTAATGAGGGAGGTTTATCATTACTTAAAAAATTAATAGTTGGATAATTTTTATTATAAAGCCAGGGGAAAAATTTAATAAATGATTATAGAATCTGCATAAAGTGTATTGATTAACAAAATTATAATTTTATCTTCTTTTTCTTTTTTTGCCTAGAGCACATAATCCAAAAAATGAGACAAATAATTGAACAATTCTCTTAATAATCAGGGAAAAGCAATAGAGATCAGAAGAAGACTTGAAATTCATTCCTGAAGCAACTTATTAATGCTAGTATTAAAAAGCAGGCTGTTATGAGTCACTAAAAGTCAGGAGACGAAATCTAAAATCAGCTCAGATATTACATTCAGTCTTCCATCAATCTATGCATAAAAAAGCTTGATAGCCAATTATTAAAAGAGAATCATTAAATTCTACAGCTCTACAAGAGTTAAAGTTAAAATGAAACAAATAGGATGATTTTTTTTTATTATTATTTTGTTAGGAGGAAGAGAAATTTGGAATTTTTGTGAGAAGAATGTGAATAGAATTTACCAAAGCTGCATTGAATTTTAATAATTTAGTTGACAAGCTGAATTTCTGTAATGTGGATTTATCATAATTTATATTATTTACAAATGTTTATTGTTGGTATCACAGCTAGGGCTGGTGCGTGCTATTCTCAAAAACTCTCAGCTGAGAAGAAGAGCTTGATTGGTCATTCCCAGGCTAGGGCTTTGTGACACTATCTTACCAATATTTGCTTTTTTTCTATCTTCATTTATATGTTATAAATTAAACTAAGCACAAATGACTATTAAAGGATGAACATTTTTACAGGTTTTAACATCATTCTGTTTTTATTGTCTAAAAAAATCTGTGAATTTATTTTGCACATGCAAAGTTTCAAAAAACACTGTACAAAATTCACTACTTTTTATTCATAATAATTCAGAATGTTTTAAAATTATTCAAATTTTTAATAAGAAAAATCTCAAATTGATATTAAAAATTGCCACAAAACATTGTTGATTTATTTAAGATGGAATCATCTAATATATGTCTGTAATTTGTATTAAGATACACTGTATTTATTTCCAATTTTTCTTAATTGAACTGTTAACCTATGTTGCGGATGATCCATTATTTTATGTAATTAGGTTAAGATTTATATTTCATATGAATTCTACCTAATGAAAATTGAGATGTAGTAGAGTGATCTCCCTCCACCTATCATAGATGGGAGTAGTGCTCTCAAAGATTAGACAGGGAGCACAATACCCTTGTGCCAGCCCTGACAGTAAAGCTTAAATTCTTAGCTATTGAAAACACGCATTCATCCTTCAGTTTTTCTCCTGCTTTCCTTTCACATACCTTCTCCTCTTACTACCAAAAATGTTCAAATTGACGTATGAGGACCGGTGCAAACAACCCTGACTGTGGGGGAGCCCAAACATGATTGCCCACTCTCGAGCAGTGCTTTGTGCCCATCACTATCTTTACATTTACTTTCTCTACATACACACACACACACATATATATATATATATTATAAATTAATCTAAGCACAACTGACTGTTAAAGGATGGAAGCTTTTAGCATCATTTTGAGTTATTTGATTTTTTTTTTTTTTTTTCATCCAAATCTGTGAATTTGTATTGCTCATACTATGTCTAAGAAAATAATATATAAAATTCTATATTTTTATTTATAATATTAAATGTGTTAAAATTCAACTTTTTAAAAAAAACAACTTCGTGCTAAAAATTGCCACAAATCACTGCTGATTTATTTAAGATGGAATGACCTATCATGACATTATCTGTCTATATTTCTGAGAAAATAATAAAATAGATGTTAATCTTCATGAGCTGCTATCCTTGGTGACTTTTCAACCTAGAAAGGGGTCAGCCTTACCTGGAAGGGGCTGAGTGGCTATTTTAGAAAGGACCCACACGTTGAGAATGTAGTAGTTCAAATAAAGCATTCTCTTTTCATCATGTGTCTCATTTCCTTTAATTTAAATTTACATTGGTAACAGAGCATAATTCCAATATAAATTTAAATTGAAGAAACTCTGACATGTAATGGAAAGAGAATGCTTTATTCAGACTACTTTGTTCCCTATCTAAAATGGCCGCTCAGCCCTTTCAGGTAAGGTCATCTCCTTCCTAAGTTGAATGAAGAGACACCAAGGAGAGCAACTCCTGAAGTTTAACAGTATATAATTATGTAATGTCATGAATATTTTGATTAAATACACCACAGATAAAAAATTCATTTCCTAGAATTGTTTGAAACACAGCACATCCACCCTATATAAGTCAGAAATTTATAGTAATATTATAGACTGATTCATAAATAATTTCCGTTTTTGCTTGACAACTTTAATTTTTGAAAAATAAAGTACAATTAGATTTTGTTCAATTATATATTCACTATTATTTGCAATGATGTTACCACTTATCAGGCAGCTTTTCGATAGCTTTTGAGTAAAATTCTGCAGGTTTTAATGTGAAAAAGTTTTCAACAAACTCTTGAACCTGCTTTTCATTAAAGAAAGTACTTTGCAACAATTTCAAAATGTTGTTGAGAGATCAGGTGAATATGACAGGTGGGTAAGAACAGATCAACTGAGTCCCACAATTTTGTTTTCTGTTATTTTTGCTGTATGCAATCTTGTGCTGTCATAGAGAAGAACATTTTGCTTTTTATCCACTGTGTATGCTGCCACTTTTGTGCAAAAATGAACATATGTTAGTATACTCCAAATTTATTCTCAGCTGCCATGTAATTGGGATGATATATTTTTTCCTACAATTCGTTCCCAAAGACGGAAATTACTTATGACACAACATAATATATGAAAATTATTATGATATAGCAATATCATAGAATATAAAAAACTTAGAATATACATTCTGTAAATATACATTCTTCTCACAAAAACAAAGAAAAGGAATTTCAAAGTTCATAACAAAGCCAATATTTAAAACATCTTATTAACACTTATGGTTATCTTGAGGTTGGTTAGACAAGCTGTTATTATTCTAAAGTTTCTGCAGGTAAAAAAATGGCAAACAATGGATGGAACAGGCGAAAGGATATAAAAAATAGTCAAACAGGCTATAATTTGAAAATGCAAACCAAACCAAACTAAACAAAAGCAATCCATTTTATACCTTCCATCATAGTTATCCCAAGTTGGGAGTGGCCTTTGAATCTGTCCATAATGATCTCTAAAAGAAACAAGTAAAATAACTGTTTAATCTGATCCAAAATGACAGTGTGTTAGTAAATCCCAAGTATTCTATTTTTTCACAATGTGTTAGTAAATAACAATCCTTTCAATAACAATTACCATGACATATTTATTTCAATTAAATCATTTCAAATCAAGATAGAATGAATTAAATTTTTCCAATGTAGGATGAAATATATATATATTTTTCTTTCTAAAGAAGTAATGGATTTTTATTTATTAATCTGACAGATTTTTATCACTTTAAAAGTTATTTTTGGTGGATACTAATATTTTATTAGATAATCCGTTTAACTATTAAACGGCATATTTATTTTTGCCCACTAGCCTTAAAGAAAAATATGCACCCTCCAGCAGGATTCAAACCTGTGTCTCACTGGGCAGAGCGAAACCATTGTTAGATGAGATGTGCCTTAACCAATTTGGGCATGAAGAAGCTTTGCCATTCAGACCATGTCTTATAGGGAAGTTATAACTATGAGTAAATAAAGATAAATTCCTTACACGTCTATATCTCTGAGATGAGGTATTATGATTACTTACATTATTCAGACTGTTATTCTCATTGTCATATTAATATTGAATATGGCAATGAAGATCCGGATAACAGTCCAAATAATGTAAATAATCTAAGTAATTCCCCTTACATTTATATATACAAAAATACTGATAAAAATAAGAAACAGTAAGACATAGAAACAGTAAAACAAGTATTATTTATTATCTGCTTGTTATGTGGTGTTGGAGACATGAGAGACTGTAAAACTGTGAGATTGCAGTCAAATGTAGATCAAATATAGAGTGGATAAGATAAACAATATGTAAAGTGTATACAGTCTTTCTCATATGTTTTTTTTTTTTTTTTTATAGATGTGTGTAATGAGTGTCCAGATAATTGGAAAATACTAGAAGTGCTTGGGGTTCTCTTACCTTACTTTTTGTTGAGTGCTAAGAGATAAATGGTACTATTATATCCTGAAAAAGGAAAAGGAGCCAAAATGTTCATTGATGCACATGTTGACAGCCTGTCCAATAGTGAGAATGTGAGATGTTTGTGTGTGTAGAGGAGAAAAGTGGGATCAATTTTCATTGGTTTACAATGTTTGAATAATGACAATTATATGTTATGATTATTGTATTATAATTATTTTTGACATTACAATTAATTTTTATTTATTCATTTTTTTATGGATATGACAGTCTGAATCGTGTTATTAAACAAAATCCTTTTCATCAAAAATCCTCAAAATTATCACATCTGCTCAGTTTCGTATCTAATTATGTTTAAGAAATAAATGGAGCATCTACTCAAACAGGAGCATTCACCAAAAATAATGTTTAAATTGATAAATATATATATATATATATATATATATATATATATATATATGTGTGTGTGTGTGTGTGTGTGTGTGTGTGTTGCAAAGAAGAGCTGAAAATACTTATTGTAATTTTTTTTCTTTTCTTCTAACATATCCATTCCAAAAGAGAAATTGAAGTTTTCATATACAACTGGCCAAAGGAAGCAAGAAAATGCACTGATATAAAATGAAAGTGACCTATCATCAAATAATTCATAATATCTGAATATTTCTCAATATTCATTGATCAAAATGCTACAAAGAGAAAAATGAATCACACATTTATTCATCCAAAAAATGAAAAGAAAAAAAAATTTGAAATCACAAATTAATGAAAGCAACCCAATCAAATTTTGGAGAGTTCTGATTCTGATGATTTCAATCATCCAATTTGACTTATTTCCCTTGGTTTTTATCTTAAATGATTTCAGATGAGTCCCAAAGGCCTTAAATCTCTTTGCTGAAGATAATTTTTCTAGAAGCATAATTCCCTATGCTTTTTATCTCATTCCTACCAAGCTTTATGAAAATGACTCTTGAATTCATGAATGATGTTTCAATATTTTTGTCTTCTAATTTTTTTTATTCATTTTCCTCAAAATAGTTCAAATTTGTTATTCAAAATCAATAAAAAATAATGCTCTATTTTGAGGATTACCATTGAAAGAACACTTATATGAATATCTGGATGTGAATATTTGTCAATCCTATTGGCAATGAGTAATTTCCATTTCAAATTCATATGCATTGCTACAAATTGATTTTAACACCATTTTTATAAGCAACTAACTAATTACCAAGATGCATTCAAATAATTTTTACTTATTTATATTTTACTTGAAAATACAAGCTACAAAATCAAACAATAATTATGAGGAATTAATTTTAAGCCAACTGCTGAACCTTATTATGATTTGCTATACTGACAACTCTTAACCAAAATAGATTTGAATAATAGAAGCCAAATCTATTTAATTATTTATTGAGATAGCCTTGTAAAATTGAAACTTTCATATAGATGACATACCTAGCTCCAGAGTCATTCAGAAATACCTAGACTGTCAGTAGTATATAACCGCTTTCTAAGATCAATGGTTAAAAATGGCTTTGAGCAAATGAAAAATGTAGGTCTTAAAGAGGACCATCCTTCTTCAAACCTTATGAACTGGGGCCAGAGTATCACAAAGTATTATATCAAATAACAGAAACCATATCACTTGAGGACTACCAACTAAAATGGATAGCACATGTAACTCAAAGAGAAAATAATGACATAATCAATACATTCCATACTACTTCAAACAAAAGGTTAGGAAGGAAACCTCATTTAGTACAGGAAAGAGCAATAACAGTTACTGCACTCAAGAAACCTATTTTCCTGAAAAATTGTTTTAACAGAAAGAGTTTATAAATTTCAATGGATCATATCACAAATTTATCCAAAATTAGATAATGATGTTCTTTTGTATTGTAAATATAATACACATGTTTGCGCTGCAGAAAATCAGGTGCCATGTGCAAATTACGTAAATTTATTTTAGTGTGCATTAAATACTTAAAAACACTAGCCTGTGTGTAAGTAACAGTCTAACAAATTTGTCATCTGGGGATAAATTTGGTATGTGTAAGTTTCCAGAACACCAATTTTCAAATGTGTATTTAGAATCTAGTCTTCAAAAAAGAATGCTAAGAAATTTTGTACCAGTTACCATAATGTTTACAAATGAATTATTAATGTTTTTCACATTTAGACTAAAATAAAAGACAAATATATTTTGAAAATGCTAACATTCTCCCTCTTTTGATAGTCTGTCCCAAGACTTTAGACCTCTTCAAAAAGGAGATCAAAATATACTACAATTATATTAATAGATGGTGCTTACATAAGCTACAAGAAGACAATGCATGGTCATCAGTAAGAGGATGAGCCTGAAATGCAATTTGAAAGTTGGGAACATTTGAATCAAGTAGACGCAGAAGTTTAAATAACTGGGAAGTGTCTAGACAGTGGATGGTACATGTGACACTGAGATCTGTAGACATTTTGGGATGGCCAAGGCCACATTCCAAAAGCTGGGCACAGTACTGTGAGACAGGAGGATTTCTTTAGTAACAAAGAAAAGAATACTGAACTGTTATGTGATATCTGTCCTTCTTTACGGCAGTGAATGTTGGATGATTTCCTCAAAGATGAAGAAGAGACAAGAGGGAACAGAGGTGTGGTTCTACAAAAGAATGCTAAGGATATCATGGACTAAGCATGAGAGCAATGATAAGGTCTTAGAGAGGTTGCAAACAAGGAGGAGGCTTATACTTAACATCAGGAAGAGACAGCTGAAGTTCCTGGGACACATAATGAGGAAGGAAGGCCTGGAGAATCTGATACTCATGGTTTGAATAGAGGGAAAATTTAGACAAGTGAAAACAATACATGACATATCTGGTGGACTGAAGCAAGTGGATGACAGAATGTGGTCTGGTGGAGGAAGCAGAGAGAAGGGACTTGTTGAGAGCAGCAAGGAATAGAGGAAGGTGGAGAACCATGACCGTGAAAGAACATGGCACATGAAAATAAAGAAATTCCCACAGACTCCCAGAGGAGTATAGGGGGGCCCACACTCCCAGCAAAGATGTTAAACACAATTTACCCCACAGACTCCCAGAGGAGTATGAGGGCCCCACATTACTCACTCAATTCCCACAGACTCCCAGAGGAGTATGAGGGCCCCACATATTACTAAACCCTGTGACTCCCAAGAAAATTGAGGGCCCCACATCAGAAAATTCCCACAGACTAATTAGAGGAGTATGAGGGCCCCACATTTTTCTAGCATTTCCCACAGACTCCCAGAGGATAAGGAGGCCCCAAACCTATCAATTCCCACAGACTCCCAGAGGAGCATGAGGGCCCCACATTTTTCACTCACCCCACAGACTCCCAGAGTTTTATGAAAATTTATCTCACCACCCCACAGACTCCCCAGAGGAGTATGACCCCCCACATATATTTTTCAATTCCCCAACTCCCAGAGGAGTTGAGGCCCCACATTACTCACCACCCCACAGACTCCCAGAGAGGCAATGAGGGCCCCACATTACTCACTCACCCCACAGACTCCCAGAGGATTAATGAGGGCCCCACATTCCACAGACTCCCAGAGAGCATGAGGCCCCATGGAAATTGTCACACCACAGACTCCCAGAGGAGTATGAGGGCCCCACATTACTCACTCAATTCCCACAGACTCCCAGAGGAGAGGGCCTAAATTTGATAATGGTATCAAGATAAATACTCCCAGATGAGGGCCACATTCCCACAGACTCCCAGAGGAGTATGAGGGCCACATAGTCAATTCCCACAGACACCCTAAGAAGTATAAATAAACCTACTAGGCACTGCTACTGTGGTTTCCATAGCAAGTAGTAGAATTTTACAGGATGGTGTTGCTAATGACATGCCCAAATGGTTTTGAATTCAGAATTGTCTTTTTCTTAGATCGGTTACCAACAATGGCTAAAGAAATTTAACTCATGGAGATAGAGAGTGAGAGAGATGAAAGTGAATTCATTGAACTGGCATTCAGGCTCATTTGAGTTCCCATTGTGTGCTGCAATA